GCTATGTATTTCCAAGCTGTGCCTAGAATATTAATGGCCCTGGTGGTCCTCTTGTTAATGTCGTAATCTATAGTGCGTAAAGTCAAGTGAGTTTGGTTAATTTCGTGGTGCAAGGTGTGGTATAAGCTGCTAAATTTTAAATTTTTTTCTGTATGAAATTCTATCTGCTCTAAAGCTTCTTTAATTTTGCCTAAGTTGATAATGTGAATAATTCTTGTTGTCGTTGTTTGTATTTTGCCTAGTCCGTCGTAGATCGTTATGTCTTTTATTGTGGTTCTGTAAGTCCATCGTTTGTTTCTGTCTAAGTCTGTCAATGTTGTCTTGTCTAGATTTTTCATATTGTTCTGTTTCATTTTAGGGAAGTAATGGGTTTCTGATAATTGTTTTTTATTTTCTATTGCGTTTCGGTGAGCTCTATTGTGTATTTTTAGTATATGTTCGTCCTGTTCTGTTTCGTTAGTCAAGTCCTTCACTTGTGTCTGGGTGAATCTGATTTTATAATTCCTAAAGTGTTTGGGGTATATTTGTTGAATTTGACTCATGATTTCTTCTGACGTTATTATTCCGTTAATTACAGAAGGATTTAAATACTTTTTTAATATCTGAACTAGGTTATTTTCCGTGAGCTCTTGTCTAGTTATTAGGTGTCTATGGAAAGTTGGGAAAGGAATTTGGAATTCATAGTCGTCTGTGTTTGCTTTGTTTAAGAATATTTGATTCTTGAATACGTTTATCGGGACCTCCATACTAGGTATTAGGTTATGACTTAAACTTTCTGCGCTATGCTGAGTGGATGTTACTGAATTGATTTGGTTTACTATGGGTATTCTTGACAATGCGTCTGCTACTGTGTTATCCCTGCCTGGTTTATAAAGGAGTTCATAATCAAACTCTTCTAGGTACGTTTTCCATCGTTTGATTCGAGCGTTGCCATTCCAACTGCTAAGCGAATGTGTAAGTGGTTGATGGTCTGTGTATATTTTTACTTTTGCCTTACCGTAAAGGTAATTTTTGAGGGCTTTTAGTGCCCAAATAATCGCCAACATTTCTTTTTCATTAGTGGCATAATTTTCTTCAGATTTTGACAGTGTTCTTGAAAGGAAGTATATGGGTCGTTTATTCTGAGATAAGACTGCTCCAATTGCATAATTGGATGCGTCTGTTGTTAATTGAAATTCCTTATTAAAGTCTGGGTATTGTAAAATAATGAAGTCATTTTATTAGAGCGTTTTTGATTTTATCAAAGGAATCAATGGCTTCTTGATTGAGATTAATTAGTTTTTTTGAAGACTGGCTTTTGGACACTCGTCCATCCTCCCCTCTTAAAAGAGAGCTAAGTGGTTTTGCCAGCTTAGCGAAATCTCTTATGAACCTTCTATAGTAGCTAGAGAGTCCGAGGAAAGATCTCAAATCTTTGAGTGTTTTTGGATAGGGATACTTGGCTATGGTTGCTATTTTTTCTGGGTTAGTCTCGACGCCTTTATCTGAGATGACAAAGCCGAGAAATTCTACTTTGTCTTTAAAGAACTCGCATTTGTCTAACTGACATTTCATGTTAGCTTCTTGAAGAGTTCGAAAAATTGTGTCAAGATTTTCTGCATGTGTTTCATTATCTTTGCTAAATATGATAATGTCGTCTATGTATATGAAGCATATCTTGCCGATATGATCACGAAGAATGTCATCTAACGCCCTTTGAAAAATAGAAGGTGCGTTTTTCAGACCGAAAGGGAGTCTTGTAAACTCGTATTTTCCGTTGTTTACGGAGAAGGCGGTCTTTTCAATATCTGCTTCTTTTAATGGAATTTGGTGGAAGCCACTTTTTAAGTCAAGCACTGAAAAAATTTTATTATTTCCAAGTTGTGCTAGTACTTCGTTTATTTCTGGAATAGGGTACTTGTCTGCTATTGTTTCTTTATTAAGCTTTCTGTAATCAATAACCATTCTATACTTTTTCTCTTGGGAAGCATCCATTTTCTTGGGAACAATCCACACAGGTGAATTGTAGGGTGATCGGGATGGGCGAATAATTCCGTCCTCTAAAAGTTCTCGTATTTGTTTATGGACTTCGTCTTTTAAAGACATTGGGAATTGGTAAAATTTTGAATATATGGGTGAATCTGTTTTGGTTCGAATTTCTGCTTTTACATTGGTTGTGTAGGTTAATTTTTCGTTTGGGGTGGCAAATAAATTGGGGTATTTCGTAACTAACTGTTTTAATCTTTGTTTCTGTTCGATAGTCATGTGATCTGTCCGTGGTATGACAGTGTTAACTGCCTCGATTTTTTTCTGTCTAAGGGGTATAAATATGGTATCTTTAATTATTAATTGATTCTTGCTGCTATGGATTACAGCGTCTAATTCTTTAAGGCTGTCGTTGCCCAGAATTGCGTCAAATGCTTTTAACGTAGGTAATAGGAAAAATTTTACTTGGATATCTTGTCTGTCAAAGAGATTAGCGATTTTATGGTGAGTTATTTTTATATTTCCGCCGACTGTTACGGCTTCAAAAGGCTTTTGATTGGGAATCGGGTTAGAAACTAGTTTGGGCTGTATGTAGTTTCTGTTTGAACCTGTGTCTATTAGTATTTAAAGTATCTCTCCGCTTTTTGTCTTACATTCTATGTAAGGAAGCGAAGAGCTAGTTATTCTAAAAAATTGATGTTATCATGTTCAATGGGGCTCTCTTGTTCGTTGTCATCTTGTTCTATTTGTTGTGCGTACTCTTGTAGTGATTGCTCGTGTTCGGTCTGTTGTTCGTAGCTTTCGATGGTCTGTCCGTATTCTTCCATAGTTATGGAAGCGTTGTGGTAGTCATTGTCGGGATATTCCTCTCCCGTTTGAATATTAAAATTTCGTTGTCTTTTATCTGTTGTATTTGCTATTGGTGGGGGTCTTTTCCCTGGTTCAAAATTTGGCCTGTTCATGTAATTTACCATCCGTGTTTGGATGCTTTTGTCAACGTCCATTGGTTCGGGGCGTGGCTGTGGTTTAGGTGCTAATGGTCGGGGCGGTACGTTTGTCTGATGAGGTTGCGTTTGGTAATATTGTTGTCTATGGTATTGGTGTCCCTGATTCATGGTATTTGGCCATGCCTGTTGCATTGGCACTTGAGCTCTGAAACCAATTGGTACAGTTCTCATCATCTGAGGGGGATTTTGTGCGTATTGAACCATATGCGGTGGTAACATGGGTGGAGTTGCGTTTCGAGCTACGCTTTTGTGACCTGTTTGATGGCTTTTATTGAAGGCTATGTTTGTTCTATAGTTCTGATTTTCTAATTTTAAACATAAATGGAGGGCTGAGGGAAGGTCTGCTGGTTCCTTTATGCTAAGAATACGTGGCAAGTCTCCTCTCAAACCTCTGATGAAAGTGTCTAATGCTTTTTCTCTGTACATTTTCGTCATGAGTAGTTCTGACTCTCTACTGAGTTCCATACATCCTACCTTGTTCAGTATTAAAGTCAGCTGGTTATAGACAACCTGATAAAACTGTTCTACTGTCTGGTTGTTGCCCTGTATTAACATAGTCATCTCGTATTCTAATGTATTTATATCTCTTTTATCTGCATAGTGCAGTGTGAGACACTTGGAGATGGCATTCCAATTAAGGGGTACATTGTACGATTCGAGGGCCGCGTCGGCTTGGCCGATGATCTTATTTCTCACTGTATGCAAAATGCCATAGTACATTGGTGATCCAACTTGGCTTGCATATATGGAGAGTATGCGATCCACACTCTTTTTCCATGAGCTAAATTCGATCTTATTGCCGGAAAATTCCCTAAGACTTTTGACAATGTCTGGTACTCTGTTAAGGTCGTTCAAATTTTGATTGTCATTTATGGTCTGATCGTCTACGTCATTGAATTCCCTGGAAGGGTTAACTATTTGTCTCACTAGCGTCGGAAGTTGTTCTGTCAAAATTTGAGCGACAGTGGCTGCAATCAACTGTTCTGCGTTATTCGCCATGCCTCTGTTCTGTAAGTGTTCGTTCTGACGGTCTATATGTCGTTGTTGCTGTCTATTGATAATATGTGCACCTACTTGGGGTTGTTCGACTAACACTGGGGGCCTAATCAAATTATTCTCGTTAGCCATACGTTATTAAGTGCCTTTTATTGTGGCTTTGATCTATTGTTTTATGTTTACAGGTGGATTTATGATTGAATTTATTGATGTTAGTGTTAGTTTATGATTATCATTAGTACAACTTAATTTCTATAAATAAATTTTTATTATATAACATTTTTTTTTTTTTTTTTTTTAAATTTTAAATTTTTTATTTTTATTTTATATTAAGACCAGTGGCTGGGTTTTCCCTTCTACTTTGGAGGGTCCCTTGGGAATCGCAAAGTTGGGTTATTTTATACTACTATTATAGTCATAATGAATTTGATCGCTTTACGCTGTTTTATTTTTTTGTGTTTTATTAATATTTTATTTTCTCTTTATTTTTCTCAAAATTTTTCTTAAATTTTCTTAATCTTGTTTAACTTTTATTTTTCTCAAAAATTTTTCTTATATTTTATTACACTTTTTTGTTTTAGTTTTGTTAGTTTCGTATTCTTATATTTCTAACTTACAATAATGATGATGTGGCGGTCTTCACTGCTGATCCGGATTTCATCCTTTTTGGCTGTTCCTACTGGGGATCCTGCGACCAGACTCCGTTGAAGTATCCTGTGGGCGGACCGTACAGGATTACCGTCCACCGATGGGCAATCGAACTATTACGTTCCAGACTACCTTTAACGAATTTCACTGAACGTCGAAGTTACGCGACGTGAGTTGCTTTAGTGATTTTTCGGTCGCGCTCGTACAGGCGTTTTGCTGTGTTGTAACGCGATCGAATTTTCGTTTTATTTAAACCGACTCTGCTTTTAACTTGCAGTATCACGCACGTACTAAACGTTTTGCTGTATTGCGCGCGAAGCCGGTCCCTGCTCGGGCGCCAGTTAAGTTCTTTCTTTATTTAAACGGTAAAAAAAGATGTTTTGATATTTTACTGCTTAAATGCAGTCCGTTTTATTCAAGAACAAATTTGCAACTAAATTACTTAAATCAATTCTATCCCTAGCTGAGCTGTGGTTCAGTCGACGACGTTGGCAGCGGCGTCGCTCGTGGTGTTGTTGAACCGTTGTGCAATTCTTCTTAGAATTTCTGGAGCTCTGGTTGGCGTGTGCAGGAAGTCCGCTAGACGTTGTGTCAGCAGTTTTGGCTTATTGGTCTGATCAGCTTGTTACGTTTTATTTGCGTTGCAACAATTCCCATTGGGTTTTGTTGCAATGTAGAATATTTTTGTTTTTAATTTGAAGAATATTTTTGTTGTTAACTTATATAAGCGGTATATATGTATATTTGTCCGATCATCTCAAGTGCATTTATGTTTACATTATTGTATATATTTGGTTGTATATTTACATAGCGACAAAGTGTCACTATGTGTACATTTTAGTGTATTGAGTGCCGGGTATATATATTATTAAATGAGACATACTACACTATCCACCTGATAGTCTGCCTGTGATTCCAACGATGAATCTCAGTTCCACCTTCTGTGTTGATCTTAACGCACAGCCACCTGACTTGCGCTCTTGATCAACTGCGTCCCACGACGAATCTCACTAGCAACTTTGATAAATTAACCTTGACGCATAGCCACCTAGCTTACGTTCTCGATTAACTTCGTCTCTTTACGCACCAGCTCATCCGCCTGCGTATCAGCAAAATTTTCATCCACCGACTTCTTTGACGTCTCTGCTCACACTTTTTGTCTTTGTCTTTTACCTTTCTGCTTGCGCGCGTCGCTTTCCCAGAAAAGTGAATTTCACCAGAATTTGCAATCGTCACTAAGCGTCTCTTTTTGTCTCGCTCGCACCTTCGCAATAATTGTTCATTTCTCACTTTTCAGCAGCTTTGTCTTTCGCGATTCAATTAATTAAATTGCTTAAAGTGTAACTTGGACCAATCCCGGTTGAGCTCCCAATTTGTAGGATTTTACATTTATTGAGTAAATTAAAAGTCAATTTAACGATTTCCTTTTAACTTTAAACTATAACGAGTTTTACAACAAATGTCTACCAAATTATATTATATTATATTGTATTTTATTATAGAGATTAATTTTAGTTACACTTAGGTTATTTAATTAATTGTACGTGTTCATGATCTTTTCACTTCTTGTGATCTCTATTTCACTTCTGTTCTTCTTTATCTCATTCGGCATTTTTACTTAGCGACACTTGATTCTGTTGTACGTCTTAGCTGCTTGACGGCTGCCTCACGACTCTGCTGGTCGACGACTGCATAACGACTCTTTTTCTTCTAAGAACGATTCGTGATCTAGTTCAAAAGCTAACGTTTACTCCGATTCCCTGCGGTTCATCTGCCAGGGGTGTTGCAACTTTTACGAATCCCACATGTATATATACATAAGTCTGCACGCATAGCATCAAGCATTCCAGCCTTATACACGCGCTCATTTCTATGTGTGTATGTACATATGTATGTACTAGACGTCTGCATGAATGGCAAAAAAAGCACATTCAAATGTACAAAGTCATCATTGAATTGAGTGAATACTTGTACAAAACGAAATGAGAATGAGTGAGTGACTGAAGTCGTGTTTCTCTCGGCTGCATAAAAATATACCCGAAAAGAAACGAAGTGAGTGAGTGAGCAGCAGAAGCTATTAAATGTTGTATATTGAATACATTCGAATATTGTCAGCTGTTTTCTGCTGTGTGTGTTATCTGTTAAAAGAAAGAGGAAAAAATAAAGAAATATGTGTGCAATGTATTTTTTGTTGTGGAATTTTTAACTTATATATTTATTACAAATAATTAATTAATAATATTAGAATTTAAAAACATAATTTTATTATGCACTCTCCTATATCTATATATATAAAAGACAGTTGTGTAAAAGTGTCTTAGCACTTATAACTCGAGATCTGCTGGACCAATTTTCATGGTTTTTGATTTGTTGGATTTATCTCCGCCACGAGTAGGTCAGTAGATCTTTAAAATACTGAACAAATTTGACGAATACTTTAAAAACGCGGTTTTTTTCCCTAAAGATTCAAATTTCCATTTATACTCAGTAGCCTTGACAACAGTGACAGTTTCGGTCCTGTATAGAAGTAAATAAACAAATGTAGTCAGTCAGTCTACGGCACAGCCTCGAGCAGACCTGACTATTCAACAAACAAAAAAAACAAAAGACTATTCAACAAAAAAAAAAAAAAAAAAAAAAAAACTATTCAAAAAAAAAAAATAAATAAACAAAAAAAAAAAAAATAAACAAAAAAAAATGTTTTTCCAAATCAAAAAGAAAAATATTTCAAATCAAAAATCTGCAAAAATTCAAAAAAATCAAAAGATTAAAACCTGACTGTTCAAAAAATAAATAAAAAATTCAAAATTCGAAATTTAAAAAAAAAAAAATAAGTTAATTATTAAAAAGTGTATTTTTGGCTTTTTATATTTTTGGACTTTTAAACTTTATAAATAATAATTGTGCGCGTGCGTACAAAAGCGAAATATCTCGAATGTTCAGGTATTTGTTTGTCTCAAACATAAATTTGTGTAAATTATTTATATTTATATTTCTCGATTGTTTGCCGCGTCCTAGATGATCTAATCTTTCCCGGCGGGCCCATAATGCAATTAGGCAACGGAATATCGCGAGTCAATTATCTGACGAAGAGCGAGAAATCGCCCGAGAAAGGCTCCGCGTTAGTACCCAGCAAAGAAGGGCCTTAATTCGTGCTTCTCAAAGAGAGGCAGCCCGTGAAATGGCAATAAGAAATGGTTCAAGGATTGATTTGAATCGAGAAGCGTTTCGATATGATTGCACCATTGACAACAGCTTGAATCGTTTAGTTTGCATTGGTCCAATGGACGTTGTTTGCCAGCATTGTGGCGCATTGAAGTTTGCTGGTGAAACGCCCGGTTTGTGCTGCCTTAGTGGTAAAGTGACATTGCCATTAGTGGTCCCGCCACCAGAGCCATTGCGTTCCCTACTTTTCTAGCGAACACTCAAAAATACAATGCCTGTTTCCAATTCGGGGCAGAGACAAATCCAACAAATCAAAAACCATGAAAATTGGTGCAGCAGATCTCGAATTATAAGTTTTGTAACAAAATCTACTTTGTTTTATATATATAGAGACTGTTAGGCGGTACGAAGTTCGCCGGGACAACTAGTTTTATATATTTAAACCAAATAAATATAAAATTGCAAATATCAACACAGAAAACATATATAGACGGTCACAACTACACATTTTGTTAGTAAAACTAAAACACAAGTTTTAAACAAAACAAAACACAACAAGTAAGAAGACTCTAGTCGAGACTGCTCGACTAGGAGATACCCTGAACCCTCTAATCTGATATTCTAATCAGTCTGCACTTATTTTCGACAGACATACATACACACGCACGTATTAGAACGCGCTCTGCTATCTGCGCAGTAAGCAGCGACTGCGCTTGGGCTGCGCTACAGTGTGGGCAACATTATAATATATTATTTGTTGAATAATTTAATTTCTAGACGTACAATCGTAATGAAACTTTAAGAGCGTAATCATATGGTGAAAATGTATGTGCATTCCAAAGCACACGTCTCTAGTACCTGAAATACGCCTTTTACAAAGGTGAGGGTGAGGGGGTGGATAATTTGGAAGCTCTAGCTCTAAAGGTGTAGGAGATATAATTAAATAACTAGCTTTCGATAAGGTTTTTAATCGATAATAAAATATCGGGAGTAGTTATCGATATATAAAGAAAAACTTGATATGCGCGTGATATTCACGGACCTAGGAAAAAAAATTTCAAGTCTCTAGCTCTTATATCTTCTGAGATCGACGCGTTCATACATGCGGACGGACGGACAGACAGACGGACAGGGCTAAATCGACTCCGCTCGTCGCCCTGATCAAGAATATATATACTTTGTGGGGTCTGCCACGCCTCCTTCTGCCTGTTACATACTTTTAACAAAACCATTATACCCTGATTTCCCATTTTCAATGGGTTCAGGGTATAAAAAACAACACGCTGGTATTTGCCGAAAAATACATACATTTTTTCCTGCAGCTTCCGCTTCCATTTCGCAAGTCTGCTCGCAATTTCTCAAAGCACAAAATGAATACACAAAGTATTCTTCGAACGACTTGAGTAGTTCGAATGTTTTCGAAGTTTTCATTTCATTTTGCTCTTCTTTCGTTATACTCATTAATTCGGCATGAGACACAACATGTTCGTCTTGCGAAACAGTAGTATACAAATTAATTTCATTTGTATCTCCTGCCGGCTCTGACTCCTCGTAGGGGGATGACGGTGGAAATGTTTTGAGTGTGTTTCCTGGGATCGCACTTCTGTATGAAGATTATGGTGGGGAGATGACTGTCTCCCTTATCGCTGCCCTCAATGCGCATATCTGTCACATACCGGCTCCTGAGTATGTGTGCGTGCAATAGAATGTGACAGCATATTTCCTTTAAATTTCGCGCAAAGCAAATTAATGTTTATGTTATTGCATAGATTTGTATATTCATAAATATTTTAGATGAACATAAGTTTTATTGAAACTTCCGATGCGTCAAATAATTACTGATTACAAAGAATATACGACTCAATCTCAAAGAAAGCGTACAGGAACCGGAAAAAGAGCGAAACTCCAAAAGAAGTGTGACCAAGTTAATTGTTAACTTACATACTTAATTGTAAATCATCTATGTATATTAAATACGAATGAAATCTTTTTAGTATTAATTAACTAATTGTTAACTTATACATTCGTCTCATTCTGTCCTTTTCACTCACTCATATTCTACTCAATTCGAATGTACTCAATGTGGCTTTGTTATACCCTGAACCCATTTTCTATGGGAAATCAGGGTATAATGGTTTTGTTGAAATGTATGTAACAGGCAGAAGGAAGCGTGGCAGACCCCACAAAGTATATATATTCTTGATCAGGGCGACGAGCTGAGTTGATTTGGCCCTGTCCGTCTGTCCGTATGTATGAACGCGTCGATTTCAGAAGATATAAGAGCTAGAGACTTCAATTTTTTTTTAATGTCCGTAATTACAGCGCGCATATCAAGTTTATCATTAAAAATCGATAACTCATCCCGATTTTTTTATTATCGATAAATAACCTTATCGAAAACCAGTTGTAAAATTATATCTTCTACACCTTTATTGCTAGAGTCTCCAAATTTTTTATGTATGCTTATATGCAATTTATACAATTTCGGTTTTTGTTAAAATTTACCCCCCACCTCTAAATTCACCCCCTCACTTTTGTAAAAAGCGTATTTCAAATACTAGAGACTTGTGCTTTGGCAATTACATGCATATTCATGTTATCATAATCTGAAAGTTTCATGAAGATCGTATGTCCATAAAAAAAGTTATTAAACAATTAAGTTCTCATAGTAAGCGCACACTGCAGCCCATGCGTGTTTATGCGTGGGTGCTTGTGTGTGTATGTGTTTGTGCATGTGTGTGTGTGTATGCGTTTGTGTGTGTGTGTATGCGTTTGTGTGTGTATGTATGCCTGTGTGTGCGTGCGTGCGTGTGTGTATGTGTTTATGTATGTGTGTGTGTGTATGCGTGTGTGCGTGTTTCTTGTGTAAGCTGAAAGACGCGAAAAATTATTGAAATAGCTATTGCTCCAAGGGTTCAGGGGATCTCGTAGTCGAGCAGTCTCGACTAGAGCTTTCTTACTTGTTATGAATGTATTCATGCAGACGTCTAATATGCACACCCCAAGAGTAAGTAAGGAAAAGAAAATGGTCAAAGTGAGTGAAATAGGAATATCAGTGAGTATTGATGCCACTGCAACTGCATCAAGAAACTGATTATAGAGTATAAAAGTGGTTATGAATGAACAAGACGAAAGAAAAGGGTCGCGGTAATAGTGAAAGGAAAAGTGAAAGCATTTGTGCCGGCTGCAAGTGAATATTCCCGGTGATAAGAAAGCAAAATTGTGAAAGGGTATTCAATAATGCGCGCATAGACAATTGTGCATATGTATGTAGATATGTGCATGTGAGAATTAGCGGAGAGAGAATAAATAGTGAAGTGTATATATGTATGTGCGCGTAGGCAAGCGTGCGTATATATGTATTCGCATACGTAGCGCTCAGTCAAGAGAGAGTGAATAGCGAAGAGTACTATGCGCGCATAGGCAAGGGTACTAGATGTGCCAAACTATCGATGGTGGGCCCCATCGATTGAGGACGATAGGAATTTCCAAAGTCGCAATAAAAAACAGTGATTCCTAGCCTTAAAAATTTGAACACTTCAATTTTGTGAAATTACATTTTAAGATAAAAGCTGAATTGACTTAAAAGCTAAAACCTAAAAACTATTAAGTTATGGTTTTTATTGTAGTGATCGATTTTTGTTGTCTGCAAATAAGTGTCATTCACTCACACAATAAAAAAGACTCAGACAGAAATTGTTTTTGTCGCGTATGGTTTAGCTCGCTCGCGCTCTGAGCGAGACAGTTATTCAGTTTTCGTTTCGCTCAAGTCAAGCACTGATCGTTTGCTTTAGTTAAATGAATTGAAATAAGAAATAAGAGGTTCGAGTTTTTGCAATGCGTTGTCAAAATACTTTTTTCCTCTATTGTATGTATGTATGTATGTATTTGCATGCACACGAAGATAATTTCTGTTGAGTTTTTTAGTCAAACTGTCTTTTGCCGAGAGTCTTTGTGTAAGCGAAAATCGTATTACTCTTTTCGCGACACTCATTTGAGAGCGTCACACCAATAAGTCAATGCGAAACACTTGACCAAAACAAAGGCAGCCGCTCATAGCGAGATTGTGTCTGCACAATATTTTCGGTTATGTTATGAAGCAGAGCATATTCGAAAAAACGATCAACCATCATTTGCAAGCTATGATACAAAATTAAGAAAAATTATAATTATTAATCACGCACCTTTGACGATATTATCGTCCACTATCGACACATTGAACAATCGATAGTTCAGTCGCTAGATAGTACCCGACCATCGATAGCGACGATAGTGCCATCGATAGTTTGGCACCTCTAAAGGGTACATATGTGTATATGTATGTGAGAGAATAAGTTGAGAGAAAGAGAGAGCAATCGGTCAAGCGTATGTGTGTAATTATGCGCATATGACATTAGGCGATTTTTGTATGCTTGCACATGCGGGTGCGTGTATGTAAGTGAAAATGCGCATATGACACTAGGCAATTTTGTTGTATGCTTGCACATGCGGGTGCGTGTAGGTATGTAAAAATGCGCATATGACACTAAGCGATTTTTTCTAATGCGCATATGACATTAGGCGATTTTGATCGTGGGAATGGACAGTAGGCCGAGGCCAGTGCAAAAATAAAATAAAATAAAATAAAATCTTATAAAATAATATAAAATAAAATAAAATAAAATATTATAAAATATAGTAAAATATTATAAAATAAAATAAAATATTACTAATAAAACGCACTGGAGCGGAGCGAAGCGGAACATAGCAAGGTTAAGTAAGATAAAGCGAAGCGAAGTAAAAGCAAAGAAGATAGAGCGAAGTCAAGTCAAGTGAAGATGAAGTGAGGCAATTTGAAATAAAGTGAAGAGAAAATAAAGCAAAAAAATTGCAGCGGAGTGAAGCAGAATAAAAGTGGAGTAATAACAAGTAAGAAGACTATAGTCGAGACTGCTCGACTGGGAGATACCCTGAACCCTCCAATCTGATATTCTAATCAGTCTGCACTTATTTTCGACAGACATACATACACACGCACGTATTAGAACGCGCTCTGCTAACTGCGCAGTAAGCAGCGACTGCGCTTGGGCTGCGCTGTAGTGTGGGCAACATTATAAGACTTTATTTGTTGAATAATTTATTTTCTAGACGTACAATCTTAATGAAACTTTCAGGTCGTAATCAAATAGTGAAAATGTATGTACATTTCAAAGAACACGTCTCTAGTATTTGAAATACGCCTTTTACAAAGGTGAAGGTGAGGGGGTGAATATAGGGGTGGTGGGTAAATTACAACAAAAATCGAAATTATATAAAATACATATAAGTCTACATTTAAAATTTGGAACCTCTAGCTCTAAAGGTGAAGGATATATAATTAAATAGCTAGCTTTCGATAAGGTTTTTAATCGATAATAAAATATCGGGAGTAGTTATCGATATATAAAGAAAAACTTGATATGCGCGTGATATACACGGACCTAGGAAAAAAAATTTCAAGTCTCTAGCTCTTATATCTTCTGAGATCGACGCGTTCATACATACGGACGGACAGACAGACGGACAGGGCCAAATCAACTCAGCTCGTCACCCTGATCAAGAATATATATACTTTGTGGGGTCTGCCACGCCTCCTTCTCCCTGTTACATACATTTCAACTAAACCATTATACCCTGATTTCCCATTGAAAATGGGTTCAGGGTATAAAAAGAAGAAGAAAAATGAAAAAAAATAAAATAAAACAAGTAAGAAAGCTCTAGTCGAGACTGCTCGACTACGAGATCCCCTGAACCCTTGGAGCAATAGATATTTCAATACTTTTTCGCGGCTTTCAGCTTACACAAGAAACACGCACACACACACACACACACACACACGCACGTACGCACACACAGGTATACATACACACACACGCATACAGACACACATACACACACACACAGCATACAGACACAAACGCACACACACACACACATACACACACACATACACACACACATACACACACACATACACATACAAGCAACCACGCATAAACACGCATGGGCTGCAGTGTGCGCTTACTATGAGAACTTAATTGCTTAATAACTTTTTTGTGGACGTACGATCTTCATGAAACTTTCAGATTATGATTATGACATGGATATGCATGTAATTGCCAAAGCACAAGTCTCTAGTATTTGAAATACGCTTTTTACAAAAGTGATGGTGAGGGGATGAATTTAAGGGTGGGGGGTAAATTTTAACAAAAACCGAAATTGTATAAATTGCATATAAGCATACATTAAAAATTTGGAGACTCTAGCAATAAAGGTGTAGAAGATATAATTTTATAACTGGTTTTCGATAAGGTTTTTTATCGATAAAAAAAAGATCGGTATGCGTTATCGATTTTTAATGATAAACTATATGCGCGCTGTAATTACGAACATTTTAAAAAAAAATTTGAAGTCTCTAGCTCTTATATCTTCTGAAATCGACGCGTTCATACATACGGACAGACGGACAGACAGACGGACAGGGCCAAATCAACTCAGCTCGTCGCCCTGATCAAGAATATATATACTTTGTGGGGTCTGCCAC